TAGCCCTTCAGCCACTCCATGCAGGTGTAGTTCAGCCCTTTGGGCCCAAGCGAAGGCGGACCAATCTTCCATCATTCGGGCAAGAAGCGCAGTGAGTCTTTCTCTCCGACTCGAAGTTTCAGTTCGATGGTCATTAGTTCCACCTCACTGGGTACCCCGGTATTAGGTCCACGACACTATGCTTGTGCTCACTGAAAGCATCTAGGCCCCTAGTTGGGTTTCGGTGATTAATGACAATACGAGATTACTGTGACTAACGTGTGTTTTGCAGAGGCAATTAAGTTAGGTCACGGTAATGGAGATCGATTGGGCAATCATGGTGGTCATGCCCCTACGATGGAAATCATTTCAGTTTTCAAAGGATGGACGACAAGGTTAAGGATGGACTAGTTCAAAGTGTCATTTGGAGTTGAAGACACACTTAGAGTAGTTTAGGACTTTGTTTTTCCTTTGGTCGCATTTATTAAGGGGGTATGGACGGGTAGCTTGACCTAGGTGAGTCTAGTGAGTTAGGTATGGTGCACACATGTTAAAACTAGCACTAGGTAGCTCCAAAATAGCCCTTAGATCCAATGGAGCAAACTTCATTCACGTATGATCAGGAGTTGAAAGTGAATGGAGGGTCAACATCGATCGGACAACTGGCTTCGTGTGACCGGACACGACGAGAGTCTGGGTCACCATTTGACCAAGGTGAAATCGTCTGCACAACCGAATCGCCGAGAGGGAGTGACCTGACGAGAGCCAGAGAGGTCCGGTCGACTCAAGAAGGTTCCGAGAGAGGGAACACTTAACCGGACGCTTGGCTAGCGTCCCGGTCACACTTTAAACACCGGAGCTCGGGGTATAATGAATCAAGCTGCTCGGTCAACATGACCGAGAGGTCCGGCCACCCTGCAGAGGCATATAACGGTTCGCTTTTTCACCGGTGTTATAAATACCACCTCCACTCGTGTGGGGGGTACTTTTGCTCATTTCAACATGCCTAAAAACACCTTAGAGAGTGCCAAGAAGAGAAAGGTCCTAGTGAGGTGATTGAGATTTGAGAATCCTAAAGAGAGCCCTCATTAGTGAGATCAAGAGTAGCAAAGTGTGCATCCACCCTTCTCATTAGGCTTGTCGTTGTCAAGTGAGAGTTCGTGCTTGTTACTCTTGGTGATCGCCATCACCTAGACGGCTTGGTGGTGATTGGGAGCTTGGTGATCATCCTGGAGAGCTTGTGGATGACCCAACTCAAGTTATGAACGGTTGTGGGTGATTCACCACGACTCGGAGTGTTGAAGAATCAACCATAGAGAGCACTTGATCCTTGCGGGATCAAGGGGGAGCTACACCCTGCACGGGTGCTCCAATGAGGACTCAGTGGGAGTGACGACCGATACCTCGGCAAAACATCACCATGTTTCTCCCTCTCTCTTTACTTTGAGTATTTATTTTAAGCAATTCAATTTTGTCATTTACATTCTTAGAATTGCCATGCTAGAGTAGGATTAGAACATAGGTTGTAAGCCTTTGTGTGGTAGAACAATTAGAAATACTTTCTAGGCACAAGGGGTTAATTGGGCTAACTGTAGGACTTAATTATTGCAAAGAAATTTATAATTAGTCCAATTCACCCCCCTCTTGGGAATCTTGATCCTTTCAATTGGTATCGAGCCTCACGTGCTCATGATTTAGGCTTAACCGCCTAGTGAAAGACGCCTCACGGGATGGACTCCTCCTATCTTTGAGGGGGATGATTTCCATATTAGAAAATCCGCATGGAGGCGATCTAGAAGCTCTAGATGTTGAATACTTAGAGCCGCCTCACAAGGTTTCCCAAAACCTCGGGATGCCGCACACCCACAAGGCGATGAGTTGAATTATGAAAATGGAATGCAAAGGCTAGAAACACTATATTTAGAGGCCTTTGTAAAGATGTGTTCAACCGGGTGAGGAACTCACAAAGACGCCTATACACTATGGTTTGACGCTTGTGCGCCTATGAGGGAACAAAGAGTGAGCGTGAGGAACACTATCATCTTGTCGTGAAAAAGCTTAACTCTTTTGAGATGCTTCCCAAAGAATGTGCTAATGAGATGTATTCACGTTTGAAAGTTCTTGTAGAGAAATTCAATGGGCTTGGACTCACTCAAATGCAACCATCCGATGTTGTAAGAAAGATCTTGAGTGTTCTCCCCATTGAAAAATATGGGCATATTGTGACCGTGCTTCATCAAGGTGATCTTTCCACCGCTACACCGACATAAATCTCGAGAAAGATCAATGCTCATGAGATGTACATGCACATCACACCTCAAGATGGATCATCCTCTACAAAGAAGAAAGAAAAAGACTTATCATTCAAAGCTAGCCAAGAGAAGGGCAAAGCAAGGCTTGAGTATGAGAGCTCAAGTGATGATGAAGTTGAT